GCTCCGGACCGGCGGGGCCGCCGACGCCGCAAACCGCCGACACACGGCCGACAGCAGCAGCGGCTCTGCGAGCCCCTCCGCATTTGTTGCATCCCGAGGAAGCTCGGGATGCGCCATTCACAGGGCTGCTCTCCCTTGGTCCCACCGCCGCCCCCGCCGCCCCCAGGGCCTCACCCAGCGCCTCTTCATAGCTGCCCCCACTGTCGATGCAGTCCGCTGCGGCCAGCATGCATGCAGCCAGCAGGTCGGCGGCCTCCCGGAACTGACGCCCCATCGTGTGCACAGCCCTGCAGGCGCGCGCGGGCAGCGGGCGCGCGCTTTGCGCTCGCGGGCGAGCCAGGCTGGCGCCAGGCTGGCGCCGCACCAGCGTTTGCCTGGCCGGGCTGCTCGGCCGCCAGGCGCAGCACCGGCAGGAGGCTCCTGCTCGCTGCGCGCTGCCCGACAGCAGCCGATGCGTGTGATGCGTGACAAAGCCAGGGGCGGCGCCGCCACAAACGCGTGCGCACGCCCGCGCACACCTGAGCGCCAGGCGCCCGCTCTGCAGCGGGTAGAGCAGGGCCATGATGGATGACAGGTAGGCTCGGTTGATGTGCAGCAGGATCTCGTAAGCTTCCCGCGGGAAGGTGTGGGCTGCGGGGCGGCAGGGAGGCGGGGCGGCGGGCATGCGCGGGTGTGGAAGCATCGCTGGGCGGCGCCGGGGCACAGACGGTGCTGGGGCATAGACGGCAGCAGGGCGCACACGCATGCGATGCCCCAGCGCCGCCGCCCCGCGCCTGCCCTTTTCCCGACAGGTGCGCAGCCCACCCACCAGCTGAGTAAACGTTCCACTCTGTGCCCACCACCCCCAGCAGCGCGCGGGCCTGCGCGATGGAGGCCCCCACCGCGGTGGCATCGTCGTGCAGCGGGCGGAAGGAGTCGCTGAGGCCTGCGGCGGGTGGGAGGGGTGGACGCGGGGCAGGGCGGGGCGGGGCGGCGGGGGCGGCTGGGAATTGGCGGCAGGCTGGATGGCGCACAGCCCCGAGGGGGGCCCTCCCTGGCGGAGCCACCCAGCACCCGGGGGCCCTACAGCACCAGCCCGCCCACAGCACCAGCTGCATCATACCACCAGAGCTGCATCAAGTGTGTGTTATTGCACACGCCGGCAGCCCGCCAGCCTCACCCGTGTCAATGGCGTTGTGGCCGTCGAGCGTGCCGGTGAGGCCCGCCGCCAGGCCGTCGGCGCCCAGCGGCATGCACGCCATGTGGCGCACCGTGGCGGAGGTCAGGCCCGCCAGCCCGCGCAGCGCCTCGGCCGTCTTCAGCCGCACCTTGCGCCCTGCGGCGGACGGTAAGGGGCAGCAGTGCCGGGGGCGGCGGCGGCGGCGGGTGGTCGCGACGCGTGGCCAAGCCGGCGGGCGGGGCCAGGCTGGCGACACAGACGCCGCCTTGTGCCGTCCTCACCACATCTACTCCCATCACCCACCCCCATCACACACACACACTCTCTCTCTCTCTCGGCACCCTCAGCCTGCCTGCGGTGACGGGGAAGACGAGGCTGGAGGCGGCGGCGGCAGCGCCGATGCCCAGCGCAATCTGCAGCCACCAGTAGAAGAGGGCCTGGTGCTCCACGTATGTCTGGTGGTAGGGGTTGAGAGCCACCATGGGCATGCTGCATGGGGGGGGCAGGAGGGGAGGCGGTGGTGCGGCGGAGGATGGCTGGGAAGCAGGCGGGACGGTGCGCCGCCCGCTCCCCGTCTGGGTTGAGCCCCAGCTGAGGCCCTCCACAGCATGCACACAGCCCTGGCATTAGGCATTTCAACACCTCCCTGTCCTCCCCTGCATGCGCACATGCAGGCCATGGGCATGCCTCACCTGAAGGTGGCCACCGTGAAGGCGAACCAGTACCGCGGGTACCGGAAGCGGTACAGGGAGAACACGAAGGAGAAGAGGGAGAGGAGCGCCACCATGGCCCCCGCCTTGGTGGCAGACTGCTGGTAGCTGCCCCCGTTGGCGGCGTAGGTGAGGTACATGCACAGCAGGCCGCACAGCCCGCCCACCACCGCGCCCGCCGCCCGCATCAGCACAAACTGGGAGGCGGTGCCTGCGGTGCGGGCCGGGGGGACGGGAGGAGCAGGGCTGTGTGTGTGTGCGTGTGAGAGAGAGAGGGCGCAGTGCCCGCAGTAGCAGCCCAAAACCCGGCAGTGCGTCCCCGCCGAGGGCGCCTGCGTCCGATCCGCGGTTGCTGCGGCCGCTGCTGCGGGAGCGCACCCAGGTTGGGCTGCAGCACCACGCAGAAGGTGACGACGGCATAGACGGGCGTGATGGCGGCGGGCTGCAGGGAGAGCGCGCTCCACACCGCCGGCGGCGACAGCGCGGCCAGCATGACGCACACGCCCAGCCCCACCTGCAGCCCCGCCGCCAGCTGGTCGGCGTTGTAGCCTGCACCGCACGCGGGGCAGGGCCGCGGCGGCATGGTCATGGCGTAGGGGCCGGCAGGCGCCTGGGCAGTGGAGCGCTGGCTGCCTTGCGGAGCCTGCTGGCGGCGGTGGCGGGAGCTGCCGCTCTCCGCGCCGCACTGTCCCAACCTGCCCCCTGCGCAGTGCAACCGCGCATGGCGCTGCAAGAACAGCAAGGCTGCGCCCTGGGAAGCGCTGCAAATCAGCAGAAGCCCAGTATTCGGCGAGGCGAAAGGCGGTGCCAGCGCGATGGCCTCCTCCCGCCTCCAATCAGCATTTGCAGCGATTGATATTGAGGCTCGATGAGGGGGTAGGCCGTGCGGGCAGCCAGCGGCGCGGTTGAAGGGCCAGCACCTGTCTTGCGAGAGAGCCAGGCCACGCCGCGCCCTCCCAGCACCCTCAGCCGCTCCTGTGTGCTGCTGGTGCCGCCCTTGGCCGCCATGGTTGCTGGGGCCCACTGGCAAATGGCTGCTCGGCACTGTAAACTCCCTCCTAGCCCATGGTTTGTGACGCCTAGCGTCGCTGGATGGTAGTTGAAGCCGGATTAGAATGGGTTCGGCGACTGGAGGATGGCCGGTGGGTGCGACGCCGCTCCCGCCTGGCGGCCAGCGCAGGCGCCGGCTCAGCGACTGCCCTGTTGCAGGGGTTGGCTCACTACGTAGGTCATCATTGTAAGTCAAACATGCAGCGTGTGTGAATAATAGTATACAGTCGGCTGTTCTTGTATTCGCACCCGGCCGCTGCCTCGCGTCTGCCGCTCGTCGGCGGCCCCCGTCGCCGTCCATCAGCCGGCAGCCCGGCGCCCTCCGCGCCGCCTGCGCTCAGCCGGCGGCACCCACTCGTCGTCCGAGTCCTGCTTCTTCTTCTTCTTGGCTGTCGCCTTGCGCGGCGGGTGCCTGCGGACCGGCTGCAGCGGGCAGGCGGGCAGGGCGGCTAGCTCCAACAGGATGTCGGGGAGGGGCAGAGCTTGGGTGCGCAGCATGGTGCCCGGCTGCACAAGCAGGTGCAGGTGCACAGCAGGTGAAGCTAATGCAAGCTCATCGGCCCCAGCATCTCGCTTGCCTCACCGCGCGCTCCACCTCGCCCGCTGCCTCATCCTCCCCATCCTCCCCATCCTCGCCCTTCACCTGCCCCGGCCCGGCTGCCGGCACCGCCGCTGGCGCCGGCGCCGGTGCCGCAAACAGGCTCGAGAAGGCTTGCATGTTCTGGCTGATGTTCAGGGCCAGGTGCCCCAGCACCAGAGGCAGGCTGGCAGGGTCCACCCCCGTCAGCATGGGCAGGAAGGGCAGCAGGTGCGACCGCAGCTGGCCGTCAGGCCCCAGCACCCCTGGCGGCATCATCGCGCCGGCGGGCACGCCCAGCGCTGCCAGCGACGCGGGCCGGCCGGCCGCCGGCGCGGCAGGCGCCGCCGGCGCAGTGGCAGCCGGTGCAGGCGCCTGCTGCTGCGGCTTGCGCTTGGCGCGCTGCTTGCGCGGCTTTGGCGGCGGCTGGTTCTCGATCTCCTCCCCATCAGAGTCCACCTCCCGCTGCTTCACCGCCTGCTTGCGCGGCTTGGGCGCCGGCGGGTCCTCAAACGTGCCACGCACCACCTCCTGCAGGGCACGGCAGGCGCTGGGGAGGTGCTGGGGGGCGGGACTGGCATGGGAGGGAGCGGCAAACGGATGCTTGCCCTGCCGGGGCGACGTGTACTGTGGCTCGCGGCCGGGTGCCTGCTGGGTGCTGCTGCGACGTAGCACCCACGCTGCGCACCGCGGCACCACAGCCGCCGGAATGCCGGCTGCTCGGCCGCGGTGCACCCACCTGGTGCTCGTCGCTCAGCAGGTCCAGGCCTTCCAGGTTGTCGGCGCACACGATGTTCTGCACCACCCTGGCAGTGATGCAGGTCCTGCGCGGCAGCAGCGATGCTGGTGAGAGCGCTCGCACGGCTGTGGCTGCCGGTGCCAGCCTGCTGAGCACCCAGCACCCCATCCCTCCGCGCACCAGTGGCGCCACTTGAACCAGTTGGGATAGCTCGAGTGCTCGATGAGTACGCCCAGACGCAGTTCGCCCTGTGAAGCGCAGCAAAAGTGGGAGCAGGAGGCGGTCAGGTTGGTGGGCGCGGGGCAGCTGTCGCGGCCGTTGTGCGCGGCGGGGCTGCTGCCTCCAGAACCTGCTGCCAATTCACGCTTCCCCCAGCCGCACAGGATCCTGGGGCGAGCGGGAAACGACACAATAGCAGGCATCGCATTCAAACTTGGAGCTGCAGCTGCAGCCCCACAGGCCTTGCGGCAGCTGCTGCTGCCCAGAGCTGCTCAGGCAGTGCACAGAGGCTCCCCTGCCTGGCCTATCGGCTCTTTGCAGCCCTGGCACTTGGCATGACCGCTCCTGGAGGCCTCCACTTTGTAGACGCCCGCTGGCTGCGCCATCTTGCTCAGCAGGACCTCACCAAGAGCAAGGGGCAACCCAGAATGGCTGCTACATGAAGGTGTGCTGGAAGAAAGGGCAGGAAAATGACGAGGCGCTCTCAGCTCTGTCTTTCGTTTTGCTCTCATTTGCTCTTCAAGAAGTTCACAGGGAGCCAGCCAAGATGTCTTCTGATCCCATGGTGGGCCAGGACGAGGGCACCCAGCGCATGGTGGCCGAAGCCAAGGACAACTTCCCTGAGAAGCCGCTCGACGGTGAGGCTGACCCCAGGGCTGCTGGCAGCTGCAGCGACTCGCCCTGCCCTCGGTCCAAGGTGCAGTGTCGGGCGCCGCCAGCAGCGGCGTCTCGGCAGCTTCTTGTTGACGTTCGACTCTGGAGGAGTGGCTCCCGTCCCACTGGCTGACATCAGCCCATCGATGCGCTGCCCTGCTCCCACAGAGGCCGTTCAGAGGCAGGCCGACATGGGGCCCGGGCGCGAGGCTGCCGCTGGCGAGGGTGAGCCGCAGCGGGAGAAGGGGCACGCCTGCCGGTGGGGAGCCGCCGGCCCTCACAGAAAGGGTGCCGCCTGCTGTGCCTGCAGGTGGCGGCGGCGCGGTCCAGTCGGTCAAGGAGGCCGCCTCGGTGCGCTTCCCGCCTGCCAGCCCTGCGGCCACATGTTGTGCGCTGCGCAGGCATACACAGCTGCTGTGGCCAGGCTGCCGGGGCGAACCAACACTGCTTGCCGTCTGCCTGCTGCTGCAGAGCGCGGTGGAGAGCGTGAAGCAGGCGATGCCGGCCACGCGCGACATGTCGGAGAAGCACTGCTGAGCTGGCAGCCGCCTCGCAACAGCCGCACGGCGGGCGGGCTGACCGCTGAGGCACGGATGCCAGGACAACAGCCACCCGCGGCCATCCGCCGCACCAGCGCTGAAGAGTGTGCCTTGGGTGCATGGTAGCGCTTACATCATTTGGCCACCCAACGCGGTGGGTGCTGTAGGTGAGAAGCTGGCTGGGGGGTCCTCCTGTGTTTGTCTGTGGTGCAAAATGGTGCCGGCATGCAGAACACAGATGGCAGCGTCTCAGGGTTTTGGTCGCCGCCGAGGGCAGCAGACACTGTGTTACAGTCACCCCACTATGATAGGCCGCGTGAGCAGACCTTGGGCAGCGCACACGTCGCAGACATAGCAGACCGAGCAACCTTCCTGCTCTGCATGTGCTGAGACAGGCCAATAAAATGTGCAATCAGTGCAGGAATGTGCTGGGGTGACAGGAAAGGGGATGCGGTGTGCAGGCCAGGCACGAAGATGTTTAGTGTACAAGGAGCCTTGTGCCGCTGCTGCCCTCTGCTTGCTGCCCTCTGCTAGCTGGACGCAGCCCACTCCGCTGGCAGCACCGTGAGCCTGGCATGTGGCGCAATCTTCTTCAGTGCGACACGGGTGGTGCGCGCGTGCTGCACCTGCCCGTCAGCCAGCTCCACAAGCACAACCTCATCCACCGCGGTGTAGGGCATGCCGTCTGCGCATTGGCACAGGGAGGCGGGGCAAGCATATGTGCCAAGCGCGGCGAAGCGATGGATGCGAGGAGCAAGAGCAGAAAGAGCACGGCACAGTGCTTGCCACCAGCAAGTGCTTGCCACCTGCAGCGCCCAACGCTGGCCCTTGCCACAGCATCGTCGCCCACCACCTTAACCCTCACACCAAATGCGCACCTATGACGGCAGCCACGATGGCCGTCTGCAGCGGCGGCAGGCTGGGGTTGTACGCAGCGCTCTCCACGTACCCTCCACTGTAGACGCCGCCCGCCTGGGTCACAATGGCCAGCCCCGAGGGGCACCGGCTGTACGGTGAGTAGCTGCCCACCGCCGCGGCCAGCGCCTCTGCGGCGGCCCGCTCAAAGGCGGCATCGCCGGCACGCGCCTTCAGCAGCTTGCGCGCCGTCGCCGTCAGCTGCACGCGGTTGTCCTGCGGCTGCAGCAGCAAAGGCGTGGCGGGGTCGGGCAGCAAGTCTGCGGGCTTGAACCGCATGGGCAGCAGCTGGCCCAGCGAGTAGTTGCCGCCCTGGAAGCTGAAGCGTACGCTCTCCTGCGGCAGACGGTGGGGCCAGGGTGGGGGTGGAGGCGCAACGCTGGCAACGCTGCTGGCGGGGGGGCAGGGACAGAATGTTGACATCAGGCTAGGCCGCTGCAGGCTCCCATCACTGCTGCACTTCCCCTCACTTCCACCCCGAGCCCACACCCGCCCCGACCACCCACCGCGCAGGCCAGCTCTGAGTAGAATTGGCGGCAGTGGCCGCAGGGTGCCGCCGAGACCACCAGCTGTCGTATCTCCCGCTCGCCGTGGTGCAGCGCGTTAACCAGCAGGAACTGCTCGGCGTGCACCGAGTTGTACAGGGGCAGGCGGGCAAACTCCAGGTTCACGCCCACGTATAGCGCGCCGCTGGACCCCAGGCCCACCGCGCTGCACAGTGGGTGTGCGAGGGGTGGCAGTGTATGTGTATGCAGGGAGAGGGAGAGGGAGGAGCGGTCCACAAGCGCTGGATCCATTGGGGGCTCCGCTGAGCAATGCTGCGGTCCAGGCTCCGGGATCTTGTGTGTGGATGCAGGTAGAGGCGCTCAGCGATGGCAGCAGCAGGCAGTACAGCGACGCACCCGACGTGGAAGGAGGAGATTGGGGGTCTCGCCAGCTCGGCGGCGGGACCAAGCAGGCGGGACAGCAGCTCATCCTCACCCACGCCGTGCTTCGACTGCAGCGCCGCCACCTCCTCTGGTGCCAACCTGAACTTTCCTTCCAGGATGCCCAGCAGCGGCTGCGTCTCGGCCTGCCGCGTGTTGGACAGATCCACTAGCAGCGAGCCCTTCTGCCGAGCGCCACAGGGTGGCAGGCGTCATGCCCCCACAGTTAAGTAAAAACATCGCCAACTGAGCGCTCAGGCGAAGAAGGAGAGGTGCAGGAGAGGGAGCGGATGACCGCGCTGGCGGTCAATCTTGCAGCATGGTGTTTTGAGCAACATCCGCATGCATGGCGGGTGGCACACCAACTCACGTCGTGCAGGTTGTCGCCCTTCTCGATCAGGCAGTTGCAGCGAGCGGCTGCGGAATGGGAGCGAGGGACAGAGGTGAGGGTCAGACGCGTCAGAACCGAAAGCTGGCCGTGAGGGAGCCGGGAATCCGCCCCATTGGGGCCACTGGGCGCTGTGAAACCTCACTCTCCGCACAAATGCATGATTGGGCTGTGCATGGTGGGGCTGTGTTGAGCGCAGGAGCTTGCGCTCATCCGCACACGGCGCGAGGCCGACGCTGCAAGGCAGTGGGCGGTGATGGGCAATGGACTCACCCGCGGGGCGCGCCAGCAGCGTAAGGCCCGCCACAAGCAGGATGAACACCTTCTGCTGCATGCTGCCCGTCCTGTAGCGTCTCCTGGGGGCTTGCAAGGCCTGGATCTGGAGAGGCTGGTCGAGAAGTGTTGTGTGAGAAGGGCTTTACACCTGACTGCAGAGGGCAATCACTGAGGAAGAGCACTAGAGAGAGAAAAAACAAGTCGAATTGCTGCGGATATGTGCATGCATGGGAGGCTGCCACGTGGCCTGCCATCTGGAAAAGGTGCCATCATGGGGTGGTTGACTGGTGGTCTTGCCAGATGGCATAGCTAGGTCGAGGGAGCTGACCGTTTCTTTTGCCCTGGCACACTGGCGCTGTGTGGAGCTTTCGGTTTTTCCACATCCCTGTATGTGGGTGCTGTAGGTGAGAAGCTGGCTGGGGGGCCCTCCTGTGTGGTGCAAAATGGTGCCGGCATGCAGATCACAGATGGCAGCGTCTCAGGGTTTTGGTCGCCGTCGGGGCAGCAGACACTGTGTTACAGTCACCCTGCTATGATAGGCCGCGTGAGCAGACCTTGGGCAGCGCACGCGTCGCAGGCATAGCAGACTGAGCAACCTTCCTGCTCCAACCATGTTGGTTGCTGTTCAGCTTGTTGTGATGCACACTCGGCACGCCGCTGCTGATGGGAGCGTGTTGGGTGTGCCGGTCTGGGTACTGGGCAGGAAGAGGAAGCACACCATCCTGCGGACAACTGGTGCAGGGCATACACCAGGCAGGAGTGTGGAGGGGAGGTCAGCGGGCACTGCGCCGCTGCAGGCCGGTCAGCAGCACGGCCAGTTCACTGGCGAGAGCTGTCTGGGTGGGGAGGGTGCAGAGCAGGCTGCGTGTGTGCTGGATCTGGTGCAAGCAGTGACAGCAGGTGGCCGTTGGGTTGGCGCAGCGCGTGCCACACTCTGCGGCGCTACCCATCCACCCAGTTCGAGCCGGCTGGCGAGGGCCATCCATGTTGCCTGCCTGCCTGGTGCAGCCAAGTGGTTGATTTACAAGAATGCGGCCTGAGATCAGCGCAGACGCTGAAGTGGTGTCGGTGGAAACAAGTAGGGACAGATGCTGTTGCATGGATCGATGCATGAAGACAAGGAAGGGAGGGTACAGTTCTTTGCAGGAAACAAATGGATGAATGAAAGGCTACATAGAGGTACAGGTGGAAGAGGAACACATTGTACAGTGGCTGGGATGCCTGGCACCAGGCGCGCGGGCAGCGGTGCCGGCCAGGGGCTCACAGGTCGTCGGCCTCCTGGCTGAGGGGCACGTGGAACTGGGAGGGCGCCGGCTTCATCAGGCCCTGGTAGGCATCGCGGTCGTAGCCCTCGGTGTGGGAGCGGGGGAAGTCGAGGTGCGCGGGCTGCGGGCGGTCGTCGTCGCAGCTGAGCCACAGGCGCACCAGGTGGCGGCGCTCGTGCGGCGCGTCGCCGTCCTTGAAGGCGGAGCGGGCGTGGAGGGCGGAGGAGTTGTGGAGCAGGATGATGTCGCCGGGCTGCAGGCGGTAGCTGATGGCGAAGTCGGGATGGCTGCCGATCTCCTCAAACAGCGCCAGCGCCTCCAGCTGCAGGGCGGACAGCGGGCCCGCCTGCTCCGGGTAGCGCCGCGCACACAGCTGGTAGTGGGAGCTGTTGTAGTGGGTGGTGAGGTAGCCCTTGTGGTAGGAGAAGACGGGCATCTCCCACACGGGGCTGTCGCCGGGGCGCACGTCCTGGTAGCGGCTGCGGTCGCGGTACCAGCCGCCACTGGCCAGGCAGCGCACGATGTCCTTGCGGCCGCGGCGCAGCAGCTCGTTGTGCACGGCCAGGGTGGAGGAGAAGCTGCTGACGCCGCCCTCCTTGGCCTGGTTGATGCACAGCAGGCCTGCAGGTGGCGGGAGGAGCAGCAGGGAGCGGAGTCAGCCGGGTTGGCGTGGCCTCACTTCTTGGCAAAGCAGAGAGCGGGCAGGCGCGGGGCAGGGCGGGAAGCACGGCGCCAGGCACCCCAGCAGCGGCGGCGGGGCACTGCAGGCAGCGGCACGCGAGGGCTCGGCGAGGGCTCACCCAGCACGTCGGCCTGCGCGTCGGTGTGCACCCCAAACTCCAGGTTGTGCGCGTGCTCGCGCTGGGGCAGGGTGGAGGCGGGGGCGCCGGCGGGTGCGTAGTGCATCTTGACGTGGTTGATCAGCTTGCCGTCCTTGCTCTGGGGCTGGGGCCGCCCCACGTGCACGCCCAGGCCCATGTAGCCCGCCACGCTCTCCGCCTCGCTCCACTCCCCCACCGGCACGCCGCGCAGCAGCGCAAAGCCGCGGCCGCGCAGCAGGTCGCGCCGTGCGCCGGCCAGCTTGTCGGCCAGCCCGCCCGACAGCGGGAAGTCGGCGGGGCGCTTGAGGGCGGACAGGGGGCGGCCAGAGGCCATGAAGGCCGCCACCGCCTCCTTCAGCTGCGCCACGTCAGCGCCGTCCAGCTGCACAACCGCCTCATGCTCGCGCCCGGCCCAGTCGCAGGCCTTCCAGGCGGCGGGGTCGTTGACCACGGTGAGAGGGCGCACGGTGCCCTGGGGGCCGCTCTCGCTGCGGGCAGGGGGAGGGCGGGGGCGGGGCAGCGGTGAGCAGGATGCAAGGTGGGCAGGGTTGAAGGCAGCAGCGGGTCTCCTCTCTCCGATTGCAGCACAGTGCCTCACCTGGGAGGGGCGTGGGACATGGCGGACAGCAGGCGGCTGGACATGCGGCAAGACAGGTTGTGGAAGGAGCTGCGCAGCTCCAGGCTGCTGGACTGGCGGCTCATGTCCGCATCAAAGGGAGAGGAGGAAGGGAGCTGCACCACGGCCACCATGGTTGTGTTATGTTGCCTGGCAGAGAGCAGGGTGAGCAGATGGAGGAGCAAGGGGGCTGGGGAGCGTTGCTGGTGTTTGGGATGGATGTGTGGTTGCTGGAATTGAGGAGGAGGAGCAAAACGGCCTGGTTTAATAGGCAACCCGCCAGGTGGCCTGGCACCTGCCAGATGGCGTGCCACCCGGCACGAAATGAGGTGGCGGGTGGAGCGCCACCAGCTGGCGCAATGCTGGGCTACGGGGCCACGTGCCCGGGCGGCATCCGGAATCCGACGGCTCGGGACAGCTGGCCGGGGCTTCCCCCCTTCACATCCCCATGGCACCCATGCACGGTGTGGCGGCAAGCCTGTGGCAGGCTGCTGGCAGCCTCCTGGCCACTGGCATGGGGCGTCTGTCATGAGTTGGGCCGTTGTGTAATGAGTACTGTACCGCACCTAAAAGTTTCGCGAACCTAATTTTCGCGAGTGTTTTGGCGAATTTCGGGCTGCACCTAATGTTCGCGCCCCCAAACGCAGGAAAATTTCGCGCTGAACCTAATGTTCGCGTGTACTGCTGGGGGCAGCAGCAATACAAGCTGTGCTGGGCGTGTTGTTGCAGCGCTTTTCCTGAGTTTGATCTTACACGGGGTGTGGCAGCCACCTATTCATCATCGGCGCACCTAAAAATCGGCGCACCACACTGGCCTGTTGATGTGATCAGAAGGCATCGGAGGACGACCAGTGACCCACTGTTCTCAAAGAAGCTTCTTGATGGTGTACTGGAGGTCAGCAGTACAATTGTTCTGCTGGCACCTAATTTTCGCGAGAAAGTTCGCCCAAACACGCTACCAAACTTAATTTTCGCGTGCATTCTTGGCATTAATTATTTTTTGGCCCCGCGAAACAATAGGTGCGGTACAGTATGAGAATGGCAGAGCCTGCAGCCCTGTTTAGACCGGGTGGCGCACTCACAAGGGTGCACAGGCGGTGGCGTGTAGTCGGCGGCACGGGCGGTGCTGCACTTCTGCGAGGCTGGTGTGCTGGGCACATCCCGCTCTGCGGGACAAAGTTTGTCCATGTGTAGAGGGATGCGAGCGCTGCCACCGTCAGCTGCTGGGTGCCTGATTGTGCAGCTGTGCACTCCTACATGTCGACGCCACAAGGACAGCCGGGGAGCATCAGCTGCACCGCCCCGTTGAAGGGTGCCAGGGCCACCGCCTTGACTTGACTTGACTTGTGTGGGCTTACAGTCTGGTTTCAGCAAGAACAAGCTTGCAACACAGACTTTGTTGTTCGAGCAAGGAGGGATGAAGCAGTAGAACAACAGGCAGGACAGGCCAACTGACAGGTCACCGAGCGTTTAGTGTGTGAGCGGGCAGACAGTACTGCATGTCGTGGAGCAGGTGTGGTGCGGTAAGAGCAAAGGGGGTGGACATGAGAGTGGGGGTTCAGGGCGGGACTGCAGGCAGCGCAACGGTGGCGGTCAGCCAGCGCTGGTGACAGGCGGCAGCAAAGGCGGCGAGGCGGCACGGTTTCTGGCG